TTACCATAATAAACCAATAAGAACAGATTTTGTCAAATGAAATTTAAGAACATTCACATTTGTATCCTGTTTGATGAATGGGGACGTTTAGGGGCTAAAACATTAAATGCTTCATCAACTAGACCTTGGAGAGAACTTAAAACTTATGATCATTAGATCGAATGGATCTAAGGAGCAAACAGAGCCAGGAAACCCATAAGCCTTTCTATTAAGTGGTTTTAGGTTTTTAATTCTATAATAAAACATATAATAATTTACACAAATCAATGAGTAAGTACTTGGAAAATATATTCACACTTAAGAGGAAGAGCCCAGCCTTCAGAACCAACTGGCCTTACTAAAAACACACATTTTTAATCAGAGACACTCTTTTCTTTTTCTGAAGTTATTATTACAAACCTCCACATAAACTCTTCTTATCATTTAATTAAGTGTAAAGCTTGAGCTCATGTGTCTCCTTCTCTACACAGAAGTCATGGAACATGGCCTCCAGGCATGCTCTCCCTACAGAAACGTGGGTCCATATGGCTGCATGGGTTGCGTGAGAGTGCAAGCACCCCTTCCATCCTCTCTGTCTCAGCACTGATCCCTTTGCTAGATGGATGTTCAGGTCCCACAGCCCTTCATAAGAGTCTACATTTATGTTAGAAATACGCAGCACAAACCGTGTCACGCAATCTACCAGGAGGTCAGTTATGTAGATGCAGTCAAAAGGTGGGAAAAGCTGGTGTTACAATAAATGCAATCTGTCTGCAGATCTTTAAGTCTACACTCCCTAATGAAATGCCCGGTTCTTTTGTTAAAAAGAAGACAAAGATAAACACTACATTAAACGCTAAATCTATGCATGTAATTTTCCACCATTATTTTGACACTTGTACTGTGATATTCAACTAAAAACAAAGAAACTGTTCTGGTTTTTGAAAGAGCTGCAATAATCTGGTGAGGGATCTAAACCTCTCTATGTAAAACAAGGTATTTGTATACCTAAATGCCAGTTTATAACATCTTCCTTTCTTCTGCTTTGCACACCTCATGGTCTAAACAAGTGAAAGTTTATGAAAATTTACTCAACACAATGAAGTTACACACACTGGATTATATGCTATGATTAAGCAAGGCTGTTACGAATATTATTTCTTACAAAAACCCTTTCATGGGTTTTTTAAGACCAATTTCACTCTTTAGAAAAAGAGAAAACATTGAACAAAGTTTTTACTTCATCTGTGTACCGCGATGTCGTGAGGATTTTGAGATGCTTATTAACATTGAATCCCCTTTGTGTGTTGGAACAGAGTTGTTTTTATCCTGTGAGCCCCTACAAACAATACTGAGGAGTCTATTTTTTTTAATTTTGTGAGTTCTCAACACACGGGTTGAAGGATTTTCTACTAAAGAATTACCACTATAACTTAGAATTTGAAGAGTAGCTTGGTAAGATAAGCATTTGAAAAACATTAATGCACGTCCGAGCCAGTTTTAGAGAAGAACCAAAAACTGACTCATCCACAATTGTGAAACTGTAAAGCATGCTCTGTACAAAAATATTAAATAAAGAGGAGATCTTTTAGATTTAAGGTAATATTTTAAGCATTTTTTTTACTTGAACCATAATTGTTAGCTGCTCTTACTCTACTACTGAGGGGGTTATATAAACATTTTGATGTTTCAACCCCCAGCATAGACAATAGTTATTTAAGCCCCGTCGCACCTTGCCGAGACAGCGTATGCCTGACGTCCGAGGATCTTTCTATGTATTTTTTTTTTATTAAGGGCATATACATAGTATTCATAACGAGTCCAGAATTTAAGTCCAACCACAGCCTAACTTATGCATAACGCATGGCGGCGTAATGCCCATGAACCGTCACAAGCCAGTGTCCTTAGGGGGGGCAGCAATGTGCCTCGAAGAGGCCGGCTTGCATAAAAAGATTTATTTGATTGTGGTATTAAACTAGCTGGTGTTTACCGCCAGCCACAAGAAAAAAATAACAAAAAAAATTAAAATTTTAAAAAGAAAGGAAAAGGGTTTGCAATCTCAGCAGATTCAGCGTCATGTCTGCTAGGAAGTTTGTTGGTTGTGGGCGTGAACGCCGGGCGGATCCATCACATTCACCTTCTCACTCACACTATGATGGAAATCGAGTCTGGAGGATTTCCTGTTTCCTCTGGTGAACCCCCATTTTATACCAATACCGTCCTAATACGCCATTATACGCATGTTCAGCATTTGCATGGAACACGTCAAATACGTTGATATGTGTTGGAGATAAGTTCTTGATAAGTTATGCAGAAGTTTTGCACAAGTTACTCATAGGTTCTGGATAAGCTAGATGCCACGACTTATGAGTAACTTACACTTAACGTATGTCAATGATCAAATAACTAACCTGTAACTTATGGCCCACGTATGGCATACGCTGGCATATGTCGGGAAATTTCGAGCATGCTAAAAATTTTTCGATGTACTTGCCGTATGTTATTGTGTGCCAACGTGTTTTAGCGTGCTTCGCTACGCTCACAACTTATACAAAACATACCCATAACTTATCCAACATATGCAAGTGTTTTTGCCAGATTTTTCGTTTGTCAGGCATACACTGGCTAAATTGTCAAGGTGTGACAGGGCCTTTGAAGATGATTTTAATATATTTTAAATGTAGATTTGTCCTTAACAACATGGCACAAATAGCTGCTTTGTGCTTCAGAACCTTAATATAATTGCACAAGGTGTTGCTGCACAGACTACCGGTTTTTCAAGTATGACTTGTATTATTAATACTCAGAATCAACATGTAAAATTAATCTGGTCAGAGAGGATTTCAGGAGAGAACATAGCATCCAAGAGTGGAGTAAACAGCTGAATAATGCAGAACATACACATGAAATCAAGCATATTTTAGTGCATATTTTAAATCACTTTAACAACTACATTTATTGAGTTTAGAACTCATATTTGACCAAATATTTAACAAAATACACAGAGGAAGTTTAGCCTCCCTAGTATTCAATAAAAATATTGCTATTTTTGAAATAACTCCATTAGTTTAATTCTGATATTCTTTTTAAAACAAATGAATTTATTCTGTTTTTGGATCCAAGTTTTGGTTTTTTGATGCTTTTCTACTCTGGTGTTGGATGTTGGGAAGCTTAAAGGATTTTTTGCTGATATCTTTTTGCTTTGGGGCATTTGTTATGATACATAACAGTAGCACCCATAGATTTATTTCTATTTAATGATTTTTTTAAACAACCGTTAGCAGCTAACAAACATTTCAAAAGCTGATATAATACTTTAACTACTTACACAAACCATTAATAAGTTGAAAATAAGCCGATTAGGATGTACAAGAGGATCAAAATGTCACGATTTGGTGTTGGATTGAGGACCCAAATGCAGAGGCAAGTAGGCAGAGGTGAATTTAGGTGGGTTTAATGAGGTTCACAGGAACTGAGGCAGGAATCAACAAATCCAACAAAATTAACAAACAAACCAGAACCAAGGAGACATCAGGGGAAAACCAAACTCTAGGAGCCAGGGAGAGACGTGGTAAGCAGACAGACGTTAGACGAGGATCCAGCAAACAGGAACTGAAGAGGGAGGGCTTTTAAAGGGGACAGAGACAAAGAGAGGGCTAACGAGAGGATTAGAAACAGGTGAGGACAGAGCAGAAAACAGAGCTAGGGATAGAGGACACAAGAAGGCAGCAGAGGACAACAAATGGAAAACCTGGAAGACAGGAACTAATAAGAAAACAACAAAATAATAATTAAACACTAAAACAAGGAGCAAAATAAAACTGAATACTAAAAATAAACATAACAAAACCAAGACTGTGACGCAAAAAGAAGAGAGATAAGAGGAAATTCAAGCCATCTCTTCCATCAATCACTCTGGGCAAATTAGGAAACAGGTTTGAAATGGCCAAAGCCCGAGCAAGGAAAAAGCCAGAATATCAGGAATTTGATACCCTTTCTACCTACAGTATAGTTCCTGTCTCTAGAGGTAAAGTAAAAAGACAACTGGAAAAATGAATCAGAATACGCCACCAGGTCCAGATGGTGTCAGCCCCAGGGCCCAGTGTTACTGGTCTGGTTAGCTGGAGGCTGTGGTTGCTGGGGATTGATGGCAGAATAAGTTTTGGGGTTGGAATGCAAGAAGAGGAATTTGGGTTAAGCTAGGTGGTCAATGCGGTACGGAGGGCAGATGCCTGCTGGCAGTGGGCTCTTGTTACTGGTCTCCTTGGTTCCTGACCCTCTCCTCTCTAAAATATGCTCCTTTAACCTTCCTCCAGAGGTTGAGATCTTTTAATGTTTGCAAGGAAATGCAGCATTTTTTAATGAAAATTGTTGTTGCAGTGGTCTTCTCTGTGCTGCGGATTCTTGAGGAGGTAGTGCAAGCAATAATAACAGCTAGTGACTAGATAAGCCAGTGTAAGCTCATTGCTTATCAGTGGTCTGGAGTCATTACAGACAGTTGAGGAAAGGGCCACCCTGAATAAACAGAAAGCAGTAACAGCAGACACCCAGTTCACAGCCTAGTGGTTAGCAAGAGCAGCTGTAGCAACAACAGGGGTTTACGCTGCCTGCAGTCCAGAACACAGAAATGAAGAAGACCTTTTGTTCATTGGGCAATCAGATTAAATGATCTATCAATCATTTATCTAGCAATCATTGTATTTCAAAGAGCAGCAGGGATGTGTTTGGTTTGAAGCCTTAAATGACTAGACCTTTTTTTGAGTATACATAAATCAAGTTCTCTGTTTTTGTAGCTTAGCTGACCAGGCATGTTGAATGCAAGCATTTCCTGGTGTGGGTGGTGGTGAGGCTCTACAGATGGTTCTGGCTGGTTAAGGGAAATTACAATGAGAAGCAAGCCCACAGTGATCTGCTCTCAAGCATTTTCCCGATAACACCATCCACAAGTGTCTTCATTCAAACATGTGTTTTCATGTTTCTGGGGGAGTGATGTGCTTTACCACATTAGGTGGTAGACTTACATCAGCTGCTGAGTTAGGTGTTCTTTCTCCTCTTTCATTTTCTCGAGCTCCACAGTGGAATCCCGGAGCTCTCCATCCAGCGCTGTTGACACACAAAGAGAAAGACCTACAGATTCAGGCTTAGTTGACAATATGAAATGTAATTCACAATGGGTTTGATGTGAAGTTTCTCACCAGAGGCAGTAACAGGAGGAGAGAAACTTGTGAAAGTGAACAAAAAGGCAGATTCACTAAGTCCTTGTGCTGTCTCCTCAAACTTCCTCAAACAATGTACATAATAAGATAAAAATTGAAGTTGGAATTGAAAAAAGACCAGAAAGAGAGGATAGCAGAGAGGAGTGAAATGCCTCCTGATTTGTGATCTCAATTTGTAAAATTATCAATCTTTTTTTAAAGGATTTTTAGGAAAAACAAAAAAGAGATTTTAGAAATGATTATTTTTTAAACTTGGTTCCGCTTTACTGCTTCAGGACAATGAAAGCTAAATCCTGGAGGAGAAAGTCCATCAACTCCCTTGTAAAGCTGGACAATAATCCAAAGCAAACCAGCTATTCTACTAAGAATGGGTCAAAAAATAAAAAATAAAGGTATTTTAAGGTTACCATCAAGTTTAGATTAACCTTAAAATCTATGGCATAATTTTTTTTAACAGTTCAATCAGGCTCAAGAACTATCCAATGTGGCTGGATAAAAAGAAAAAAAAACAGCAAGAAAAAATCTTTGTATCTGTAAATAAATTTTTTTTTCAATCTAAAACATCTACAGATGCATATCAATAGATTGTATTATTATTGATAAGTTCATTTGGTTTAATACTAGTCAATATGCGTCATGGAAAACATTACATTTAACATTATATTTTACACAAACTGGTGTTTTCAAGCCTTTGTTTCTGTCAAATATATTTGATTGTTTGTTAATAGTATGTGTAATATGTCCTTCAAGGTTGTTATTTTCACTAAAAGACACATTCTAATTTATTATGAGGTACATGTAGAAGTAAAACCATCCAGGAAATATATCAAATTTACAAAATAAGCCATAAAAAAAGATAGGAATAAACACATATTATAGATAATAGGACAATGAGAGGCCATGATGATCCATGGCATCTTTCCCTGGCAGTTAAACCTGAGCTTTATTAATGTAGCTGCTTTCCAGGCCAGCAGACGCATTTGTCAAAAGAGCAGCCCTGCTAGAGATGCTCTGATGCAATATTTCAAATATAAATAAGGCCAGCAGTATGACAGACTGTGGTGCTGAACTTCCAACAGCTCCGGGCTGAATTGGACATCATCTGAGAAAGAGTATTTGAGTTCCAAATCTGGACAGTAACAAACTTGAAACGGACCACAGTCTTCATGGATAATGTCATCAACAGAACATATTTACCTATCTTATGATTGAAATTAAATGTAAACAGCTTAATGAAAGCAATAAGGTCTCCCCCTCATTGCTTTCATTAATCTCAAAGACATAACAGTTATTTACTTAGACCATATTTAGGTGGAAATGATCCCTTTCTGAAAGTTTCTTTTCGAAATAACACTAAGACAGATTACGTGTTTAGGTGAATCAGTGAGACTTCTGCATATATTGGCTTACCACTGTCCAGACTTTTATTTTTGCAATAAAATGCGGATCATAAATTCTGGTTGTAATGGGGAAAATATGATCCAGAGAAATTAATTAATGTGCATCACTCGGTATAATAAGTGAACTTTATTAATCTCACACTGGAGAAATGTACCTCTGCATTTAACCCATCACCTTGGAGAGCATTGGGCTGCCTTAGTGGGGCGCCCGGGGAACAGTATATGGTTAAGGGTCCTTCTCAGAGACCCAGAGCGGCAGTCTGTTGGAGTGGGGCTCAAACTCAGAACCTCAGTATTCCAAACTCTATGCCCTAACCACTAGGCCGCCACTCCCCAATATCTAACTATCTAACTCTTAATAAAAGTATGTATGTATACATACATCATATACATCATTTAAGAAATATTACATACTGAACTGATGTTTAACAATATGGGTTTGACTGACAATCTGATAAACGCATAATGTTAACATATAACTTAAAATATTGCAATAGCATAAAGTAATTGTGATGTAATCTACATCAGTTTTTTCATAGAGCTTGCAAAAGCCAAAACTGAATCTTCCTGTAGAAGTATGTGCTCTCCTTCGTAAAAATGTGAGTGTGTGTCTCCAGTATATTGGAAGAATTGTCTGTGAGGGTCCTTCAGAGAGGTGCAGAGGGGCACAACGGCTGGGGTCCTGGAGAGCACTCAAATGATTCAGCAATGTCAGGCTGACATTCTCTCCCTCTAAGTTCTTGTTTTGCTCGCTTGCCCTCATCGGATTTTCACTCTTCATTCTCCTCTCAGTCCGTCTTTTATAATCAGTTCTCTTCCGTGGCTCGTTGTTTTTCTTTCTCTCTCACCCTCTCTCCTCTTGCCTTTCACTCACTTTGCTTCTCTCTACAGGAAGAGAAGAGTGGAGGAGGTCCTACTCAAACCAGCAATACAACGATAATGCTTTCTGGTCACTGTGACATAACAAGGCCCAACCAGGGTAAAGCATCATGCTCGCTCACTCAAGCTCAAACTCAATGACAGAAACACACAAAAAAAGAAAAGAAATCACAGGAATGAGAAAAGCTGCCATGAACGACAATGGAAAAAACACACAGGTGAATGCACACACTCTACAGAGACATGCCCAAGCAGAACTTGTATTGAAGGAGCAAAAATGGCTTGAAATGAAAAGTAACCTGGCCTGAAATTTTCCTCTGCCTCCCAGTGAAAAACAGTAGGAAAACTTTATAACAGAAATACTAACTGCAACTAACAGGCTAACTGCGACTACTATACCGTAAACCACTTTGAAATTGCTGTTTACATGGCAACAGTTACATTACAGCTGATATATTTACCAAACACATATTTTAGACATAACAATTCAAGATTGAAAACTATAATTACTGATAAAAAGTGCAAAATATTTAATGAAAACTTCCACTGGTAATTACCAGAATTACTACCATAATTACACTCATCACTGACACTTTTATTGTTTACTTCAATGCTCTGGTCTTTACCAGGCTCTAAATTTATTATTTAAATCAAGCATCAGTTGTACAAAAACAAACATCACAGTTTGACATTTAATCTTTTATTGAAACAATATGATACCAAAACAAAAAAAAGATTAAAAAAAAGAACCCAAAACCACTTTTATATGTCCAAATAAAAATGTATAACCTAAAATCTGAATCTGCAAATGTATAAAAACGTTTCATAAGTGTTCTGTGGGTCTATGCATGAAGAAATAACAAGCATCTTGAGGACCATGCAGTTTTGTCATTCCCCAGAACCTTGTGTGTTACTTTGCATAAGCCTGCATCAGGATAAGGAGTGGATGCAGTTACACTGTTAAACTGCATCAGCAGGGGGTGGGGGGTGGGTAATATTTGCAGAGATGTCACCAATTTTTTGGGGTGTCTTTTTGTATATAATGGCTCATTATGAAGATACGGGATTGCAGAAGAAGAGGATTTATTTATTTTTCTTCTTCAGTTAAAAAAAAAGTCATCTTTTAAAAGCAGGATTGAAATCCACTAGTCCACAAACCAGACCCCCTCCTGTCATTTGCTGCTGCTTGAAATATTGTCCATAAAGGTTACAAAGGTTATACTAATAATATTGTATTGTTTAGCTAGTAGTATTGAAATTTCTACAGTGAACGCAAGGGTTAGTGTGTAATTCAACCATTGCTTTTTTTTTGATAGGAAGATATACAAATAAATATGTCATTTATCAAAAGAACGACATTTCAACTCAGTTTTAGATAAAAGGGTGGTGAAAGGTTTCACCTTACACTATTGGTTCAAGAACCTTTTAATCCCCCACTAACCTTTTCAAGAGTTGAAAAAGAAAAGTTAACTGCAGTACATGAAATACTGCAGGTACATAAACTAAAATTTCCTTTAAATCACAATAGTACCACCTTTAAATTGGAATTAGTTCCCTTTGAAAGTATTATTTTACTGTTTAACATCATTCAACATTGATTTTACCATGACTGAGGCTGTTTCTCTGCATTAGCATACCTTTGTTGTTAAAAGGAAAACTCAGAACAAGTGCTCAAACATTCTGTGAAAAATAAACATATTCCTATAGCTAAAGGGGTGACAGAGTAATTCATTTCATTTTTACCAACTGTTGTTATATGTTGACTCAAAAAAAGCACCAGCACACTTGTGGTTGTCACTTCAGAAAATCATTGCTTCATTAATAGGATTAAATAACTTTAAAGCGCCTGAGAAAAGCTCTGATGTAGCCACTGAGTGACAGCTGTGACTGACAGTTTAATTGCCTGCTGTACTCTGCAGCTTTTGGACTCATGCTGCGTAAGGCTGCAGGAGCTTCAAACACGGTTTCTTCAAACATGCAAGCCTCGTGCTTTTTAGGCTTTTACGGGATGTTATTGAGCTTGCACCTGATATGAATTGAGATTATTGCCTCTTTAGCAAGATATGCAATAAACTTTATATTTCTAAATGATTATATCTCTCAGTTTGATTTTTTAAGAATATTTTTAGGCCCTAGTGGGTTTTATTGATGTTATTTTTAATCGTAGATGTACATGAGATGGGATTAAAGAGAGAGGGAAGACATGACAAAGGTCACCGGGCCGGGACTCAATCCTGTGACAGACAGAGCCTCCGTACATTGGTTGCATGCTTAACCCCTGCAGCACTACTGCGCCCCAGTTTGAAGTCTTTTAACGAGGTCATTCGGATACAATAGACATGAAGGAAGAAAATCATAATCATTCAAATATTAAGTTATATCTAAGGATTGACAGAGTAGATATTTAACACGTGAAAAACAAAAACAAAAAGATGTGTCAAAAACACAGCAACAATCTGTCAGCATTTTCTAAGCATCTATTTCCTGTTTCATAAAAAACAGTATAATCTGTCTATAAATGGCAATTATACTGTTGATAAAAATAAGTAATTCCATGTCATTTAGATTTGCAGACAATCGAGAACAACTCAACAACTTTGTTCGGTAGATTACTTGGGTTAGTGTGTATTTTTTCGTCAAAAGCTTCATTAAAAATAATAGACCTAAGAATAAAGCTGTATTTTGCTTGAGAAAGAGTTTTATTTCATCTTTTTATTACCAGAAATAAAATGACACGGAAAAACAATAGTAACAAGTAACAGTAACTCACATTGCCAGACTCGCTGACAGTGTGCAGCTACCTTTACAAATACCTATAAAAACATACACAGAGTTGCACCCTGGAATTTTTATAAGTGTCTATGTTACTATAATACTACATTCTTTGGTTTTAAGGTACCACAGTCTTTTTTGGATGTCTGCCCTGTTTAATATGGGTAATAAAAGTACAGCAGCTCCTGAACCACAGCATTTCTGTGAAAATACACAGTAGAGACTTGAATTCTGGAGAGTAACTACCTTAGGCTAGAGACTGAATTTGCTCAACTAGTTTCAGGTTGGAATATTGTTAATTTTACATTGTTAAAACTGAACCATGTACATGTCAAATCTAAACTCTCATATATTCTATAAAGGCTGAAGCAGCGGAAAGAAGCCCTGCACAGGGAGGTGATGGAAAGAAAGACATCTCACTTAGCAGCCTTCTGTCCCTGACGATATATGTGACATTTTTATTTTGCTACTATAAACTCACACATGCACAAGACTGGTTCCAAAGGAAATAGATACCTTATACAGTAGTCTTTGGATGGCTCTTCGTGTTGGCAGATGGCTTCGGTTCATAGATCGGTCAAACACACTTGCATGCACACCCACATACACACACACCCAGACAAGATCCCACACACCCTTGGATCTTTTTAGCGACTGTATTTGTTTTAACCTTTTCTAAAATGTAAAACAACTCCCATAGTGTCAACTTCTTTGAAAAGCCAGTTTTGTGTCAAGCTGCACAACTTGTTTGCTGATTTCTGTGCAGAATAAGCTTAGATTGTGTCTTCATTTTGCTGTCATCTCATTGGCTGCCTTTGTCTCACTCACTGTAAAATTCCACAGCCCTCGAGCCTGATCTGTCATCTCCTCCCTGTTCTTCCCCATTTAGCCATAAACCACATTCATCCATGCATATTAGCCAACCTCTTTATGTTTGTCTATTTTTCCTTCACGTCTCCTAACTGTTGTTCAAGTAAAACAAGAGACATTGATAGACAGCACTAGGTGCTAACATATTGTTTTGGTTTATTTTCCAGTTGATGACAACATAAAAATTTCTTTTGTCTTTTTCTTTAAATGCTAATATAACTGGTTAGATTCCAAGCGGATATAATTCTTAGTATTTCATTGCTTGGTATTTTGAGATTTTCTTTGGTTTTATTATTCAGGTCTACACCTTTACTAAGAATGAGAGGAGATCATATGATTTTGAGTGCTATGAATAGTCAAGACACATAGGCTTTTACCTGTTAACTTATTTTACGTTTTCCTCCTTTTTTCCTCCTGAGGCTGATATAATCATATTTTAGCATGAAATAGAAACAAGAAGTCATAATAAAGATGAATTGAATGATACTGGCAAATGCATATCGGCCGCTTGTTGGTTTCACTTTAACATGGCAGACCAGTCAGCAGTGTTTTATGGAAAGTCGAACAAAGTGTGGCGTGGATGTCTCTTGGTTCGCCAGATTCTCAAAAGACAAAACCAGCTTGGAGAACTGGGTTTCCATCTAACTAGAACCCAGTAAGGGGGCCTGCTGTCCAGCGCTGGTGGTTGATCAGCATCTGGGACAGTGACTCTGGCAACTTTGTTTAACTTTCCCCTGCAAATTTCTACATAAAGTCCAGACAATGTATTCACTGAATAGTTAAACAACGCAACTTTGTATTTAAATTGAAAAAATATTTCTGGCTAATGGATTATGAACAACTTTAAACCTTAAAATCAATGTTGTCAGCTTTTAGCCAGGCTATCTGTTAAAATGAAAGGTTCCAACATCCCAATCTAATTCATTGTAAGTAATAGAACAAGCAGTCTTTGAGAGAAAAATGAAAACACAGTTTGGATGATCTGTTAGTAATTTTATTCATTTGTCAAGCTGTATTTCCAGCTTCAAAGCCACAGACAGAGCAATCTATTGATAAATAGGATTAAAGTTAGAAATAAAATAAAAAAACATTCCTATTATAATTGTAGCAACTAATGATAATAATGACTTATTCAAAATAAAAATGTGTTAAGCACGTTAAATATTTGCTTAAGACAAAGATGGGCATGAAAATGATAAATGCAAAATGCCTTTGCAAATTCTCTGTCATCCAGGTTGCCATGACCCAATACGCAAAAGCAACGCAGACATGAGAAATGAGCTTTCACTAGGAAGGACCTGGCCTGGCAAATGGTGGATCCCATCATGCATTGCACTTCGAGGTAAAAATCAATATGCAGCACGTTAACATCATCCCTGGGAGATGTCCGTAAATTTCCGCAAAACCTCAGACCTCAGTTATCCCGTTTGAATGTACCACATAGAATGTGGGGGGCGTAGTTTATTATATGAGGTCCCCAGATAAAGTTTATTATGTGCAAATAGGGCTTAATTCTACCAACATTTATAGGCGGAGTCTCAGTTCTGTATTTCATTTCCAATTAGTATTTTATTAATTATACTTTTGTTCCTTATTGTAATTAAACTTACCTCTTTGTTTATTTCCTTCAGTGACAGAATATTTATCTCATGTGGAAGTATATGCAACAAGATATTTGCTGTTTTCAAGATGTTAATATTGAGAAACTATTTTGGAAATAAAAAGAAAATAACTGACTAATACCACATTATTGCTAATTTCCAGGTGGGGGAAATCACACAATATTTGTACACAGGGCCCCAAAATGAATAGTAACGCCACTGATCTAATTTTTTTTGTTTCATGTGTTTCTTGTAGCGTCAGGTTCTCCTTTGGATGTGCTAATGCTAGCATATAGTAAGACCTCTGTAACTGTGTGAGGGGCTGTTCAGAATGAGACTTTCATCATTAAACTAAAGACCTAAAGTGAAGAGCCAAAACGAGCTTGTAAGAGTCATACGTATACTATCGTGACAAGTCCTTCACAAAGTGTTACCCAGAGATAAAGAATCCATCAATACAAAAGCAACATAAACACAATATTACAGTTTGCTAATGCACATGGGGCCAAATAAAAAGGGGATTTGGTCACAATAACCATAGCTCAATTTGAATAGCACCAGTACCAGTCTCTCCTGCAGGTTGGTTTGCTGCGGAGGAGAATAGTGCACCTCTTCAAAGAAACAGTTCCATAAGGAAAGAGCATTATGTGGAACCATTAGACTGAAAATTTTGTCTGATTTAATGTCAAGAAAGTGAAGAATGAGGTAGCCATGTCTTTAGCCATGTCCTACAGAGTAGGTAGATTACTGCCTGTAGTACTGTGGTAAATTTTGCTAAACATTTTATTATCACTTATATTGCTATTGAAATAAAGACTATGAAATATCATATTAAGAATTCTATGATTTTTTTTCCCCCAAGTCCTGTAGTTCTGTACCAAAATCTGTGTACCATCTTTAAAACGAAGAGAGAATAGATAATTAAGACTATTTAAAAATACTACAAAAACTCTCAACTTCAAAGAATAAACAAGCTAGTGTCTGTTTTAAATCTTTGTATTGTTTGTTGGTTCTTTTGTTCTTCACCAAGCTGCAAAGCTATGAATTGAAATCTCAAATTCCCTAAATGATTTAAAAGGAACAAAGCATGAGATGCAGGTTCAGCTAGTTTTGCATGTCTTTTGCTTCGTGTATTTAGATGGATGCTGTGTGTCTCCATCGTCTACGTGCATCTTATTGTATCAGTCGGTCCGTGCAGCAGCTGCTTTCAAGATCACGTCACAAAGCAAACACACACTCACATTGCATCAATACAAACAGTGGACCACTTACTTTATGTCCCTCTTTCTATTTCAACTCATCTTTTCTTTCTGGTTTTTCCTCTTGTGTGTGTGTAATTATACAAACACGCAAGGACACACACACACATTTGGCAGCTGTTTAGAGCATTCAGCGGGGAGAAATAGACCCACCCATGAGGTGAGCTGGAGGTTAGCACTCCTTGAGACATTTACTGTCAACACTGAACACACACACTACAGTCACGCTCCTTTAACCAAAATCTATCATCAAATTCTGTTTTTATAGATACTACACATATGTAACAATAAAAATATGTGCTATCTTACCAGACGGGAGTTAGTACATTAAGTTTACACTTGCAGAGACAAACTATTAATCTCAAACAGTCTGTGCAATAGTTTATAATATTTAGTCCTACTAAAAGATTATTTATTTTAGTCCCCTTTCCTTTTTTCCTCTATGTCAGTTCCCACTCAGATGACAATTTAGGACAAATAAAAGCTGCATACTGTTTGATTTCCTCTCAATGTGTGTGTGTTGAAAACTGAGCATGTGTTACCTGAGAACACCTGTTTGCAATGCAGCAAAACCTGAGACCCGAAAGCCTGGCAAGCCCCAGTCAGCTGATGGAGGAAACCTAGTACATCTGTGAACACGCTGCCACAGAAGCGAAGCATGGTCAAAGTTGTCCGGAGGATCTGTTGCTGCCGCACAACCACACCCCTACAACGCAGAAACACATAGCAAGGTTAAAGATGGAAGCCCAGAAAACAATTTACAAAAATATCCAATCAGGTAATTATACGACAGCAACTCAATTGCAAGTATCCATTATACAGTACTATCTTTTAGACTCACGTGGTGAAAAGTACCATAATATATTCTACCATAAAGGCATCCCAAATCTCAACAGGATAAAAAATGATATAATATAAAAGTAACCATGATAATATTAAAAGAAGGCCCGTTTTTGTAACACTTTTGCAGATATCCAGACGAGTACGGGTGCTTCTGACATAAAGCCACAAATGAATGCAAAGCGTGTAAGACTAGAATGTTGTAAAAGAACATTTTGTTACTCTAAGAAGACTTTAAGGGGAACATCTGGGTGAGAACATCCTGAACTCTTTTTTTGTTAAAAAAAAAGAGGATATTTTCTAATAAATCCTGTGATAGTGATGCAGAAAGTTTTAGGGTTGTTATTTTCCTTATTAAGGGATTTAAACTCAGAATGATTCGGTAGAGCTCGGACAAAAACAGGATGAGACGGCAGTCTTCCAGCTACTTTGTGGGGTCTTTGCACATGGCTGCAGGAGCATGGGCACAAGTTGTCACTGGAGTCAGTTTTAAGATGTCAGATGACATAAATCATAAGGCTGACGGCACCAAATGGAGGAACAGATGTGAGCCAGATATGTCTTTTGAGATTAGGCTGAGAGTGAAAAGCAGTGACACAGAGAGGCCGCGTGTATTTGACCCCTGATGATTTACTTGTACAAACTTTTCAGTGTCAGCCAAGTGATTGAAAAGCATAATTTCCTTGATATTTCATTTCTTCTCTCTTTGCCTCTATACCCTGTAGTTAGTTGCTCATGTCTTTTTCAGGCTCTCCCTATTTCCAGGAATTAACACCCCCTCCTGTTTTTTTCTCTCTTATTGTTTTCCCTCTATCATTTTTCTTAGCCTTTTTCCTGCTGACTTCCTCTCCTTGCCATGTACTGTATCTGGCAACGATACAAATAACCAAGCATGTGTTTCTTTTGTGTTGATTCTAAGAGCGATCCACATTTCAAGCTGTTTTTACTAAATCTTTGATAGACGACTACATCATGTCATTAGAATGTACTTTTGTTCTAGCATTTTTAGTGTCCCACTGTTACCTGAGTGCTCTAACATGCTGCTTCTCTTTTACAAGCTTCTCCTCTATCTCATTCTTCAGGTCAGCTGTCTTCTCCAGCCTGTCAAGAAGAAAATAAAGAGAAATGCGAGGGAGTGGATGGGATCTGTCAGCAGCGATGCATTCTCATTAGAAAGCCTCAGCTCAACATAACACCACTTAACTCTCACAAGGGGGGAGTTAGTTTATAGGCAATTTATCTTAATGATCCAGATGGACGGATGATGTTGGTAAAATGAAGCTAGATTAAAAATTTAAATGTTCATCATAAGTGACTGATATGAGCAGAAGGGTTTCCGTTCCCACCTTATATTCTGTATCAGACCCAATAAACATAATTGGATTTGAGCAGCATGATGGTCAATAGTAAAATCTGCTTTTTTACACACTCCTGCAGAATTAGAAAAAAGACCATATTTACTCCACAGCACTCTATGAAGTGTGCAAAAGTTGTTAACCATCTGGTCTGCTGCACCACACTAATACGGCTGTAGGTGATAATCCATCCTATTAGCTGATTTTATAGCCAACAATAATCTAGACATAAATGAGTAAAAGGTTATGCCCACAGTAACTTAAAACCCCATCTATATTATTTAAAGGGAATATATCAAAGTTGTTTTATTTTTCATATTTTCCTTTTTCTATGTTCAGGGTTGTATTTTATAATAATAGTAATAGTCATATTTTTTTCAGTATCTGAAATAAAGAAATATAAAAAAAAAGAATAAAGGAATGCGATGTGAATGCAGCTGAGATTGATGATCCATCCATCCATCCATTTTCTGACACGCTTAATCCAAGTGAGGGGTGCTGGTGCCTATCTCCAGCTGTCTATGGGCTAGAGGTGGGGTACACCCTGGACAGGTCACCAGTCCATCACAAGGCAACGCAGAGAGAAACAGGACAAGCAACCATTCACACTCACACCTAAGGAGAATTTAGAGAAGCCAATTAACCTAACAGTCATGTTTTTGGACTGTGGGAGGAAGCCGGAGTACCCGGAGAGAACCCACGCATGCTCAGGGAGAACATGCAAACTCCATGCAGAAAGGCACCGGGCCGGGAATCAAACCTGCAACCTTATTGCTGCAAGGCAGTAGTACTAGAGATTGATGATGTTAAATTTACAGCAACAGACTGACACAGCAATGCTCATCCCAGTGCTCATAAAGAAGAGGAAGCAAAGCACTCACATCAATTTCTATAGTTTTTTCTATAGGGAGGAATATGGTAAGAGAGTTGCTCGTTTTCAGCACTGGAGATTCCACAAACTGACACCCTACCCTGGGATTTAAATGCTTTTTATTGTAAGCCTACTCTTCTTGTAAATCACCAGAGGAATGACAACTGTACAGAAACCTTGATTTGAAAAACTAAAATTCTTGCTGCAGGCAGACATATTTTCTTTTTGGTTCTCACCAGCAATGTTGCCCTTTTGTTTTTCCCAAAGGCACTCGCAACTGAATCTAGCAGTCAGACAGTTATTACAATGTTTGTCAGTTTGTCAGGATACAGTTTGCTGCAACGCCTGGCTGGTGGTTACAAAAAAACTTAATACCTAAAAGCAACTCCAGAAGTTACCTTAGCCAGTCAGTGGTCACAGCATTGTATTCATCCTTCAACTTTGAGCTGTTTCGTCATTTAAATTCCACTTGTTTCATAGTTCTGGAGAAAGGTGTTTCAAACAAACTACTATTTTTTTATGGGTGAGAAGAAATTCATCCTTGCTATCTGTGCTTTTTTCCACTGAGTGTATCCAAGTTTCCTGCATAGATGATCTTTATAGCAAAATGACTCACTAAATCCATCTTCTTTGGCTAAGAAAGGGTCACACATTCATTGGAAATGTTAAAGTTTGAATGTCTTCTTTTAGTCAAGATAACACTAAAAGAAAAGATGACTTGATGATTTGTCTTCTACATTTTTCCAGTTTTTAGAATTGTATCTATTTGCTTTAATATCCCTTTTTACCAACAGGACTAATCAAATCTTAAGAGATTGCTGCAAGGCAGTTTTAAAGGAAAAAGAGACTGCATGACCTGGACCAGAATGACGCCACAAAAAAGGTCCTGCAGCAGGATGGGGAAAAGAGTAAACATTATAAGCGGCCCAGCTTACACAAAGCAGACTTGACAAATAGAGCCTGAATGCAGTCTGATAATAAACGTGAAGTTTAGCTGGAAGTGCAATTGGAATGACACATAATAATCTTGGTAGGGGATTTTCCACTTCTAAACCCATTCTTCTGATTAAATTGCAGTTTCATCGAAAAGTCTGAAACATTAATTTACTGGTAAGCCGCATGGGAAAGCTTATTTAACCTATTAAAATAATAAGGAGTATAGGAGTTGATGGATCTGATGTAGGTGTCTAAATTCATGTCTGACTAAAGTACCAGTGCTCACATAGATTTTTATTAGGCCTTAAAATACCTTACCTCAGCTTATAAGCATTTAACAACTGAGCTAAACCTTGAGCACACGAACACTAAGTCTTTCTCCAGGCTTTGTTTGAAAGAAGTTGAAACAAATCTCACAGCTGGAAAATACTGACATTGAAAGTTATAGCAATTAAAAAAAAAAAAAAAATCTAACAAAAGAAACTTTTTTTGGTAGATAAATATTTAAGTTATTTTTTCCAAGCAAGAGTGTATTTCTTTTTGGAAAAAGGACTTTTATTAAATGAAGTTAAATAAATAATAAATAAATAAATATAGTGAGACCATCCCTTCAGTGGACTTTTCGTATGCCCTCTCCCATTTAATCCTACAATGATTGTAAGGCAAACATACACTGTATAAAACACCACAAGGACTGCAGTGTGACCAATGCCGCAGTCGTACTGTATAATGTATTGCGGTTCCACTTTCATACTAATATTCATCCGTAAAATTCTTATATTTATTCTATTGATGCTGACTAGATATGCAGTAGATAATCTATAGAGTTATAGAAACAGATGGATTAAAAAGCTTAAATAATAACATCAGTTCACCTGCATATTTTGTCAAGGACATTCAGAGAAATAAACGCAGATAGGTGAGCACATAGGAGGTGGAAATTACCTCGGTAAGGGTTTTGTAAATTGCAGACCGCAACCGTGCAGAGAACAACACGCACTTGGAGAGAATTTAAGCTTAACGTTCCATTTAATTAGTCACTTTCAAATTTTATTTATGACTACATGGGTTAAGTCATAATACAACATTATTAGAAATTCAAGTTTAGATGCATCAATAAACCAGTTCTGAATTCACCTAACAGGGTATTCATGTGAAATTCTGCTGTTGTGATGTTTCATATATGGGTATGAGTTCAAGAACATGCAGTGCTGTCAAAATCTATTTGTCTTCTGAAACATTTCCCTTAAGGGAGCATTAACTAAGAAATATACCATGAAATAACCAATTTAATTCTCAGTTGACACGGGGATAGAAGGAAAAAAATCGGTCCTTTGCATCAACTCTGTTTTACTCAAATTTTCTCCTTTCAAACCTAGAGGTACCTAGAGTGAAGCTACTTTGGTGCAGTGTGTACCCGGTGTTCAATTCCAGCTAACTCTTTTGTGTGTTATTTTGATATGCCCTCCAAAGGAATACTGTACCAGTAGGGGTTATTATTATCTTACTTCAGTCAAATGAATTTTTGAAGTTCTTAACATACCTAAAACTCAAGAAGCTTTGTAAAGGTGTCAGGCCTTATTAAAAATTGCATATTTTAAAGGTTTTTCAAAAGACGCATGAAAAATGCCTCTACATGGCAACACATTTAGTACAGATCCTACATTTACACTCTATGACACAGAACAAGGTGATACTAAAACTTACTTTGAATAATGACAGTTGGATGGACTGTGTTAGTATTTCATGCTTAGAACAGGTCAATATGTGGATCCTCCATAATTTTTCAACATTTCTAGGATTAAAGGGCTAATGTCCAAGCAGGATCTAGAAAAACTCATTCAGGCGTTTACCTTTAGTAGATTTGATTACCGCATTAGGGTCTTCAAAGCTTTGCCTAAAAAGTCAATAAGACAGCTGCAGTTGATCCAAAACTCTACTGCCCCTGGTCTCACTAGAACTAAGAAAGCAGAGCACATCAGCCTGGTTCTGAAGTCCTTCCACTGGCTCCCTGTAGCTCAGAAAATAGACTTTAAAACCCTTCTGTTAGTCTTTAAATCACTGAATGGATGAGCACCAAAATACAGAACAGATTTATTGTCAGTGTATCAACCTCCCAGACCATTCAGGTCCTCTAGTTCCTGTCAACTCTGCACACCCAGAACTAGAACCAAACATGGAGAAGCAGCATTTAGTTCCTATGCTCCACTTATTTATAAAAAACTCCCAGAAGACTAGAAAAGTGCTAAAAGCCTGGGTTCTTTTAAGTCAAAGTTAAACAATCTGATTGTTTAGAACTGCCTTTGATTGTTGAATTAAACTGTTAATTGAGGTATTATTAGTTTAAGGTTGTGGTCTAATTGTTTTAATAGTTGTACTACTATCATGCTCATATTTTTATTTGCTTTTATTCTGCTGTTTTTTTTCTTCTATTTTATTGATTCATTCATGTAAAGTGCTTTGAATTGTCCTTGTAATGAATTGTGAGGCTGGACAGGTCACCAGTCTGTTGCAGGGCAACACAAAGACACACAACCATGCGCACACACACATTCACCCCTAAGGACAATTGCAGAAGCAATTAACCTAACCGTTATGTTTTTGGGCTGTGGGAGGAAGCCGGAGTACCCGGAAAGAACCCATGCATGCACAGGGAGAACATGCAAACTCAGTCCAGCAACCGAACCTGAAACATTCTTGCTGCAAGGGAACAGTGCAACCCGCTGCACACTGTGCAAACAATACTTTATCTATAATTGCACGTATTTCAGCTTTGTAGGACTTATCTCCTTTTTGTGTCAATACACTGCATGAAAAGTGGGATTTTCGTCAATATGCGGCACTGTAGATTGTCGTGGAACTTCAGGTTAGCGGCAGTTTACGGCAAATTGCAACCTTCGCCGAAAACTCCCGTAAATTGTCAGAAATTTACGTGGAAT